GCCACTGTCGACTTCTGACCGCGATGAGATTTCGTAATCAGGCTCTGTCGAATAGTAATATTTTATATCAACAATAAACCAAATTTTACATTAAATATTTTATATCAACAATAAACCAAATTTTACATTAACAGTGACAATTAAAAATGAACAAGTCAAACAGTCTTTGATACTCAAATGATTCCGGCAAAGCCGAAATAGACTTTAAAACTCAATGGAATGGACTACCATTTGTTTGTTTATCACTGCTATTCATTTGTTCAGATAGATCAAAAGGAACTTATTTATCATCGCACTCTCCAAATTTTTGAAGTACTGGATGTAAACACTTCTTTCTGTAACAATAATATCAAGTAACTTGCAGTTAAGACAATAAGAACCGCGCCAATCAGACCAACTAAAACTATAACAACGCACCGCTCATCTAAACTGGTCCAGTACAATCATTGTGAAGAAAAAAGAGAATATTAGAAGGGACAAGAAATAAACTTCGTATCCTATAAAATTCGAAAAAAAAAAGAGCTGCAAGTAATGCCCCTCATGTACTATCTTCTTAAAAACCAAAACTTGATAAGTCTTTTTTAATTAAATATTTCTTCACATTTCTTGCAACAAAAAAGTGACTTCTTTCTCAGCAAAACAGCAAATCAATTACTGTCGCTGTCAACCTAGGTGGAAATGGCTCTTAGTACTATACTAATCAATACGGAAAGCTGGCTTGAGTCCCTTGTATAGATTACTGGTCATATCCGACATTTAAACTGAATAATCATTCACTTGATTCCGCTATAAGGAAACATTGCGACGAATCTATCTGTGTGATTTTGAATTCTTGTGATTTTCAAAGTTGTTAAGGTATGTGGTTTTGCCAACAAAGTAATGCAGTGAAAGTGTCAAAATTTGCATAGCTATTTTTACCGATATATTAATAAGAGTGAGAAGAGAAAATGTCATACAATACCACCCTTAAACGATGTGCATGAGATAATAGGGAGAGAATGTAGATAAGATATATAATGAAGGAATGATAAGGGGAAGCTACTTATCACTTTCTTCTCCAGACCACTAGCAAATAAACAATTTACTGACTAAAGAATATGTTTTGAACAGTTGAGGATTGCCAGGACCCAAACATATTTTTAAAATGAATTGCAGGGGATGACCGCGAAATATCTGGGCTTACTAGCTAACAGAATGTTATAATAGTTTTGTTACCTTTTGAAGTAGCAAAAATGAGCCACTGAGTGGTATAACGGATCATGATTGGCAGATCATTATTTAATGAATCATAGTTTGACAGAGCATAATTTGATGGACCGTAGTGATGACGGACCGTGATTCCGTGTGCTTAAAGAATATGCTACAAATGATTACGTAAAGAAGTTAGTCAGTTTTTTCACGCGAATAAGTGAATAAACGAAAACATTGTGATTTGGTCCAAGTAACATGGATGTGACCCGTTTGGTTTAATTCCGACCTCAGTTTGACTTAGAATGCTAAGAAGTACTACGGAATCGGAAGACTTTGCATTCTGCATTCTGTTATTCCGATATTATTCACCATGAACATATTATGCATTAAATGAAGAAAATTTAGATCAAATGATTTTACTAAACTATAATGATATATCCAAATACTGATAAGAAAGAATACATCTTCCATTAATTCACAATTAGATGAAATTACAGACCGATAACATATACGTTTTGTGTGCTTTCTTTTATATCTTTACTTGTTTAAAGTAAGTACCATTTTCTTTGTCAGCAACTTAACTAAATACGATAGGAAACTTCAGATTTGTCCGGCGAGCTAGGGGAATTCCTTCGTTTGAAAACCGAGTGTGGCTAATGTTTTTAGTGGTAAATAGCCATGTTTCCAGGATATCACTTCGAAGCAGCTGTTGTGAAAATTGGACTTTGTAAGATCCCAGTTGTCTAATTATGGCGAGATCCTATTAATTGACACCGACGAATAATTGTGTTGAAGGCTTCGTGGTTAAGAAATACTTATTCTTCTTAGACGTAATAGACGTAATAAAGAGCAAAAAAAGATAGAGTCGATCACTGAGCTGATTTGTAGGTCCTTGGAGAAATATCGCCAAAGGATTTAGGAAGCGCTGTTTGTCAAAGAGTGGTAAGGATCCAAGTGTTTGACTTTCCCATTTATAAAGGGAGTGGCCTACAATATTCCCATAATGTGCAATCTTTTTTAATAGATCAGAAAAGGGTTACAATTAATAGAGGAGTTTTGTTGGTTACAGTAATTCGGCATGAGAATATACGCTTGGTTAATATATTATTGGAATATCGTCAAACAAGGAAAGCTATCAACACCATAAACGGCTTTGCGTCTATAATTTAGACATTGCAGTTTATTTCTATACTTTACTGACCGGTTGTGTTCCTGTCTGACGATAAGCCTTTCCGGGACAGGCCAGCTTAGGCCAGCTTTGGATGACCAATGTCATATCGTACAAAATTGCGGCCCATCAGATCAGAGTTTGATACGCTTCACAATGATATC